CACTTCAAAGGCTGTCCTGTTCTCTCTCGTTGCCTTTCTCCCTTCCTGTATTGAACCTGCACTTGCCAAAATACAAAAGAAGAAATAAAAATACCTAGGAAGAACCTCTTGAAACTATGAAAACAACTGTGAAATAAGGCTTTGCAAGTCAATAAGTTTTACAACCGATAACCCGTTGCTGGCTATCAAGTTTTCGGACTTTTGCTGAATAGTACTAGCCTTTAGATCTGTTTTCTTTCTGTTATATCACTAAGTTGAACCTCCTTTTGCAATTTTACAATAGTCCGTATTGCTACGACAAAACAAGACATTTCTGTGGAGTTAAACAAAATAGTTCAAAATTTCGAATCACTAGAAAACTCTTTAGCAGTGGTTTTGAAGCGGTATTTTTACAGTTTTCTGTATTTTACAAAATAATATTCCTGGGAAGTGTTTTCTTCGACTCCTCAAGTTTGAGGAATTCTCTTCGGGTAATTACGATCAGTACAGTCGTGAGTCCAACATGTTTTTGTGTCTACTAGGATTTTCAGCTATTTTCGCAAAAAGCCGGATTGTAATTAGTTACAGGTTGCCTTCTGTGTTGCCGAATTGCTATAATCTTTCCTTCGTGGAGTGTTAAAAGGTGGAAGAACAACCACATTTCTATCGTTCAGACCTTACCTGGGGGTGGTGGACTTTGTAAATTCCCTGGACGAGCAAAAGCAGACTTGGCTAATTGCAGGAAAACAGCTACAAAAATTGCACGGAACATCATTTCTTCGGTTCCTTTAACTTGCCCACACTTCAATAGTTGAGCCGCCGATAAAGACTGATGAATGTTCTTGTGAGCTGTCCGTCTTTTATAAGAATTTTTAGGTTGGTCATTGTTGATAAAACGACCGGAAAACACTGCTGTGAAATGAGATAACTAATTTGGTAAGACTTGGTTGTGCGTCATACAAGTCAGTGTAGGTAGGAAAGGTCAGATCATCTATTGCTCAATACAGTCCCGGGTGCAGCCAACGCTTTACGGTTTTAATGCTCTCAATCGGAGCGGACGGAAACTTCTTCTGCTTCTCCTTAGAAAACGTGGGCGATATGTTGATGATAAAATTCCTTATTAGGGTTTTTGAAGGAGTTTGGGCGCAATGGCGACAAGTTTGGGGACTCACAGTTAAGAAAACAAGCGACGGTGACCATGGAAGCTTCTTTGGAAACAAATCAGCTTGCACTGTGAAGATCAGTTAGGAGAGAGAAAATCCCATTTTGGAAAGTAATTAAAAGAGGATAATGATGAATAATATCGGTCAGACTTCGTAATTTTTTTTGTTTCTTTTTTGCTATGAAAAATATCGAAACTGAGACAAGACGCATGAATGTTGTTATTCGATCACGTCAGCAGTGGGATGGGACGGAAGTAACATATCACAGAGGCAACGGTGGTATGTATAGCGGTCCGTCTTTATCAAGCAATCTGTCTGAAATGCAAGATCTAAACAAAATTCGTCCTGGATGGTTTTAGCTGGAAAAAAGGGTATTTAATGTTTTTACCATCTGTTTTACCTCTGTGCAGTCTTGCTTTCCTTCGATTCCGTGGGTGATATTTCAACTCGCACGAGAGCGCATTTTCCCGGGATTATTTGGCGCTTGGTGAGTGACTCCTTCGTTGTCATTTCGCCATGGAAAAAAAAACAAAATTTTTTTCGTAATTATTTTGTCATCGTAAGTAGAATCTCAAAGGTCTAAAGGGTGGCAGAACACGTACACAGGCTTTTTGGGCTCGATGGCGCTGAGTTTTCGGTAACTAGCTGAGTAACGCGCGGAAGCGTGACCTTTCAGACTATAGAAGCAAAATTTCGCAACAGTATCGTGTCTATGTGACGTGACTTTGGGTTGCCCGTGCTGGTTTTTATACTACTTTGTCCCCCAAAAGAATGGAGGAATAGAAGATTTGGGCGCATTCAAGACGCGTGAAGATTATAAGTAAACTCCTAGCCTAAATGAACAGAAATTGACTTTCTCTTAAGACAACTGTGTCGTGGTAATAGAGTGGATAGAGCGCGAGAGCTGACGCATAAAAGAGCAATTATATTTATAATGACTCTTTTTGGTTTTAAGTGAAACAAGAGCAAGGCAGCAAGGCCTCTGCTCTCTCCCATACGAGCTCTCAGGCTGTGGGTGTCAAAATTTCACGACCATTTCCTTGATTCTGCTGAGATCTCTGACAGTCTTTCCAAAAGACCGTAAATGGTATCACTACGTATCAAAGACTGATACATTATTCCGTACATTATTCGCAACGGTGAGAATGAGGCACGGTCCGCCCTCTATTTCTTATACACGGTACTCCTACATAATGTCATGTGGGCGTACAACGTTGTCAGGAATAAATGATCAGGAGTTGCTATAAACCTAGAAGGGGAATAAAAAAGTTGTCATCACCATTGTTAAATACGACAGCTCTGGAAAATATGGTTTGTGCACCGAACTGTCGAATCATCGAGTTTATTGAACCGGAGAAGCTCTTGAGACATGTTTTACAGCGCTACAGCTACTTTGCTGCTCTTATTTGTTTTGTTTGCTTCAGCCCAGGGACGCAGTCTGCAGAATCGAGGTAAGTAATAGTACTTTCTACCCTGCGAAAGACATTTCTCTCTTGCATGACTCTTTAGCGTTTACGAAGTCGTTTGTGTGGCTTGTCTATTGCGTAGTTGGTTTGTGTAAATAATCGTACTAAAACCAGTCTCCAACCAATAAAATATTCTTTTATAATCGGTTCCAAAAAGACAAGATCATACATTCACTCCGATCCGAAAAACTAAGTCCTATCTATCTGATCAATACCACGTGGTCTGGCTGTCAAATCCGAATCACGTGGTAAAACTATTGTTCCGATTACGACTAGCCTACGAACCGCAGACGTATTTCCGGTCGTCGTTCCGGTCGTCGCTGCTCGAGAGAAGCGACGACCGGAAATAAGTCTGCGGTTCGCAGGCTAGTTTACGACCCGTGATAAAACAAACCAACTACGGGACTGACAAGCTACACAAACGACTTCGTAAACGCTAAATGTCATGCAAGACAGCATGACATCTTTCATAGGCTAGTTAGCCAAACATCACGCAGTGTTGTGAAATGTTTAGTGTACTATAGTGCTTGGATACATGGTGTGTTTCAAATTAACAGGACCTTGGAAATAAGCACTTGTAAGCACTGAAAACACCTGCCTTTTCACACTTATTCTAGGTCGATTTTTCGGAGACATATCTCATGACAAGTGCTGAAAATAGCGTTTCGGGCCTCCAAACTTGAAAATTTTCTGGGGGAGGATACCCCCCCCCCCAGACCCCGCTACAAGGCTCGTGCATTCGGCACTCGCGATAATGCCCCCTTGCTACAAAAAACGTAGCTGTGACCATCTACTGGATGAGACGCTATCCTGATCCACTAGATACTGAGTGCAAGAGATTTATCAACTTGATAGGAATTTATTCAGTTTAGGAAACGATCCACCTTCTGAACAAATGGAGCCTGTTGTTTTTATCCTATTCTCTTTCATGAACATAATGGAACACAGCTAGAAGTCAATCAAACAGAGACCGCAAAAAATCAGCATTCGCTGTGATCATGGAGGTTAATGGTAACTATGAAAAAAGTAGAGGTAAGAGATGTGCCTTATCGAATGTCACACGTGCTCTTTTTATTTTCGGAAGATAATAGTGAATTACCACTAATGATAATATATTAGTGAATTCAAGTATCCACATTAAGATTTCTTTATAACTTGCTTCTTTTAAGAACCAGGTGAGAAAAGTGGACATTGAAAACTTCATTAGAAATGACACCTGTAAGAACTGTCATCTGTGTAACTCTTAGAATAATTAATGAAGCGGGCAGGGTTTCCGAGATTTTTATTTTATTTAGTTGGTTGATTTTCTTTTTAAGGTTTTTAAGGTTGTTAGGTAGTTAGGTGTCAACAATTAGTTTTCACTCCGTGTGAGCTTAGCAGTTGACACATTAATAAAGTCTTTATTATTATTATTATTATTATTATTATTATTATTATTATTATTATTATTATTATTATTATTATTATTATTACTATTATTAAATGACATAAGTGAATTCTAATCCGGGTGCCAGTGGTGGGGAAAGGGGGGGGGGGATCTCCCATATTAAAAAAACAGGGATGATCTTCGTCTCCTTAAGGGATGTAAATGGTAGATTGTAATGTCACTTAGGGTCTTAGAGAAGCCAATAAATGAATCCTTACAAGTATCGCTTGGGTTGTTCTTAACTAAAGGAAACTGTCCAAACAAACCTAGCGCTTTCATACTTTGTTGAAGACAACACTCGATCAAAACACCTTTAACGCACATAAAACCACTACATTCTCTTATTTTGTCGGTTGTTCGTGGATGGTCTTCAGTCGTCAGGAGTCAATTAAGACCTAAACCACTCCCAGCAGATTTGTCTCCTTAGATTTAAGGGAATTTTAATTTTATCACGGGCATCCCTGTTCATTTTATAGGGGAGTCGGCCCCACCCCCTTCTCGGGGTGTCCTATTCCTCAATTCATAGGAAAAAAGGGGACTTATTTGCGCGCAATACATATATCGTTTCTCATAATTTAGCTTGCAAAACAGACGTCTGTTAATATACTAAATAAAACTCACTGGTTTACTTTTGCCGGATCTTCAACACTTACAAAGTGTAAAATTAAATAAAACTGAATGCAGGCCTGCCGGGTATCGGATAGGCTTTATGCCGGACGTGAATTATATTATTCAGTTAATTCTCAGATTTTTAAGTTTGTCCTGGCCAACATTCCTGTTTCCCTCCAACAGACGGACAAGAGCTGTTTCAAGGTGATATTTTAATGACAGAAGACATACGTGACGAGTTGCGTTCTATGGGGTGATACCCACTGAAAACAAACACATTATGTTCGAGACCAGAGAGTCCAGAAAGATCTGAGCGAGCTGCAATATCCAATAAAGCGAGCAGATGGATAGGCAGAGATGGCAAGGCTGAATAGGCCATTTCCGAGTTCTCCCGGGCCTCTGATTCAAAACGAGGGTAGGTGCTCAGCCTTTGATATGGAAATCATTTTTCATTCTCATGCAAATAAAACTCATTTTCACAAGAAAGGTTGTGCACCTAGCCTCATTTTGAAAGTGAGGGTTTTTGGAACAAAATAGATCAAAATAAAAATCAAAACGATTCGACAGATAAATTTTAGAATCTGTTAAATGAAAGGAGGTAAATATACAAAGACCCTCCCCAAGATTTGGGCGGACGGAAACCAACAGAAACATCTGTTACCGAGTTTTGCTACAAAAGTGTGAATTTACTCCTAGAGGAACTCATAAACATTAAAGTGATACTTTTTCTAACACTTGAACTGATCAGATAACAAAATTCTTCGAAAAAAGTCACTTTTGAAACTTAAATGACAGCTCTCTCGGCCGTCATGAAAATGCTGCGTCACGCTAAAGCTTATAATTTCAAGCGCACACTATTACAAAACCAAGAACCCTTTTGAAGCGAAAATTTGTTTGAAAATTAGTTTTCAGCTGCTCTAATACACCATGAAAGTAAAATCTCAGTAGGATCGATAGTTTTGTAGTTTGAATTTTAGTGACGTCATGTGAAAACCAACAATTCCCTTAAATGGTGTGACAAGTCAGCTGCTGCCTTATTGTTGCTGTTGATATTGTTATTGTTGTTGACATCTGCATGCTGATGATATCTTCAGTAATTATTTTATCTCATCAGGCTTCAGATATGCATTCCATAAGTCCGAATAAGTACGCTGACGGTAGAATCAACAGCCTTGGAGTTCCCTATGACTATGACAGTGTAATGCATTATGACTCGTGAGCCTTCAGCATAAATGGCAGAACAACTATCGGTGGTAAAAACGGTGACACCAGACTAGGTAACTCTCGCGGGCTGAGTCCGAAAGATATCCAACAGCCGCGGTTACTCTACTGTGGAAACAGGCCTGTGGTCACCAGACCGCCAACCCGACCACCTACTGGTAAGGTGTATGGTTGATCTCATTAGTGAAATTACCAGGCCTTCTTTTGGCCCGAAATTCCACATCTAATTTTCCGTATGTTTCAGTGCCAAGAGGGCATCAAGGTTTTAAGACTTTTAAAAGGTTATGAATGAAGACGTCAGGGAATTAAAAGACATTTCTGAAAAAAACCTAAACACACGAAAGAGCACATCAAAAAAGGATTCTAACGGGTATTTTTGTCCCAAAATTCTGAAAATTGTGAGCTAAAGCCAAAATTTATGCTCTAAACTTTCAGTGCATGGAGTTCTCTGTAGGATCAGCAAGTCAAAAGCTCACGATTGTAAGCGTTATTTTTTAAAATTTAAATTATTAAATTTGGACAAAACAGTTTTCATGGTTTACATTAGTGACGTGTACTCATTGGGGATTTCCACCGCTTCATTTTCATATCTTGGCAGACAGGACCCATTTAATCGTAACATAAGGATGAATTAGGCTTCTCCCGGCAATTAAGGCTGTTGTTACAAGGATAAAAGCTCCCACTGTTCTTTCTGGGCCGCACAAGGATTTTGCAAAAAAGGAACATAAGGACTACATGACAAAGAATTCCCGGAAGAGTTGTTTCTGTGTTGGAGACGATAAGACAGACTAATGGCTAAAAATACCAAATTCTCTTTTAATGCAGGGCTGCTTCAGTATAAACAAAAACCTGCCTGATAAAGTTGGTACACAGTGTTCGTTCAATAGAGACCATACGCAAAAATGCTTCTTGTATACAGGTTCTTATTGCATTTTTTTTTTAATGATTGCCAATTTTGCTCTTCGACCTGTTTCATTTTTATCGCTGAAAATGCTACCGATGTCTGTCACTGTCTACAGAATTTTCTTTTTCGCACTACGAGGTGGGAGTTTAAAGTAAACGAGGGTTCGAATCCGAGGATAGAAAACGTTTTAGCATTCACAAGCTATTCATTCCATCACGGAATCCGTTTTATCGAATTCTGTGTAATGGAGAGACCTCACTACTTCAAATATCATCATGTCAGGATTAAGTTACTCTATCTTCAGTAATAAGCTGGAGATTTCTTTATTTTCAGGGGCATGTGAAGATATAGACGCAAACTGCCGCTATTGGGCGGAAGAGGGACATTGCAGCTCGAACAGATACAAAGATTTTATGACAACACAATGCAGGAACAGTTGCAACAAATGTTGACGATTGTTCTCCTGGAACTGAAACACAGCCAAATGATAAACCCTCTAAGCCTCAATATACATGTTGTAGTTAATTTTTTATCTCAGGTAATTTTTGTTTTTCTTTTGTTTTTGGGTATGATAATGTATGCTAACGAAGTTGAAACAAAGGAAAAATAAAAATTACCTGAGATAAAAAATTAACAACATTCCCATACAGATTCTCCTGACTGATCTTCATAGATTTCCCTACAAAATTATTTGAGAGAATATAATAAAGGATCAAAGCACTTCAGTTTTCTTTGGTGATCATTTTAATAATTCTCATAACCAAGCAGTAACTTTGAATATTTCTCTACTAATTAACCTTAACATGATGTTTGTACATCCAAGGCCAGGATTGTTAACGTAAAATCTAACTACAATTCAATATGTCCATGACGAGGTCACAGTGGAATATCTTGAGCTTATTACAATTTCAAAGGCTTTGAATTTAGCCTATAAACAGCTTAGTCGTTTAGACTTTCGCCCTTCAAGTACTTTTTACATCAATAAATAAATGTGCCAATATCTCCTAGCCAGAAGGGCAGGCATTAATTATCCTTAAGCACTGGAACGTATGAATTTTAATTTCTCAATGATTATTTAACATCCTTCGACCATGTTCGAGTGATCAGTTTAGTAGTTTATAAGGACGCCTTCCTCGGTGCGTGACGCCGGACAATGCCACCACGCATGCTCCCTATGAAAGATATCATTTGAGCCTGCGCACTGGAGCGAATGAGGAAAGCAGTTGTTCGTAACAGCGATGTTACTTGTGTGACAACATGAATCCCCACAGGGTCCCCATTGGGATGGAGTAGACACTTGGTAAAACTCTATAAAAGAAAATAATATTGAGTTTATTTAGAAATTTCCACTTAGCGCTTACAGGCCTTTGAAAGACAACCGAAAAAAAAATAACGAACAAACAAACAAAAACAAAAAACACGCAAAAACAACAAAAAACCACGCTAACGGTAAACTGTGGACAGTTTTTAAGTCGACGATTCTAAGAAGATAGCGTTATCAAGATGGCGGATGGTTCTCGGATTTATCGCTTATCCAAGACAAGCTCTTTCTTTTAGGAGAAGCCAGGGGAAGCAATAATTTAGATCCAGTTCAAACGTCGAACTTTTAATGTACCGAACCTAATCCCTTCAATTAATGACATGAGAAGATCGACGTTTGAATCAGCTAAGTCCGACCTATCTTTGGGTCGACCCGTGGATTAAGTTCCAGTTGCCTGCATGGGAATGTCGATTATTTTCTATGGAGCGACTTCGCTTCAGACGTCGAACTTTTCATGTGTTGAATCTTATGCATAAATTTCTCTAATTTATTTTCACGGGTAATAATTGTAGACAATTGTACATTGTGAAAATAAATTGAGTCCGTTTTATAAAGTTCGACGTTCCATTCAAATGTCGAACTTACAGTATTTGGGTCGACCCAAATAGGTATTAAGTTCGGTAGAAGAAAAGTTCGACAGTTGAACTGCGCCTTAATAGCGTTTTGAGATTCACGGCGCTTAAAGCTGGGTCAGTGTTATGTCTTTTTAACAGAGATTCCTACGCAACTTCGAGATAAAAAAAGGAAAAAAACTAGCGATGAGAAGCGATCGTTTTCCTATAAAAGTCCCATAGTGCAATTCGACACAACACAGACCCAGTCTCGCGCTCAACTTCAAATGACCGCTGACCTTTATATGTACTTACCATCGCCATACAGGTCTCTTGAGCTTCCACTTGTGAGCGCTCCACTTGAAATGAAAGCATAAGCGCTGTCCTCATTTTCAAACGCCTGAAGGCCATTTGACATTAGATAGCTTTCTCTGAGGTATAAATAAAACAAACCCTTTTTAATGAACGGCAAGTTTCTTTAAAATAATTCTGTCTAGCCTTTGAGAAAAACTTAGTAGGGCTCTTGGTCCCACATGAAATTTCAGAGTGCAACTGCTCTGAACACATGGCATTGCGTTGGTGTTTTATTGGTTATTTATTTATAACCTCCTCAGGTTCACTTCTTTTTTCACTCTTTACCCTGTAAATGAAATCCTTTGTGGTGCTGTTCATTATCGGTTGGTTTGTAACTCTAATCCTGCCCTAATTGTTCTGTTGTTGTCTTTAACAAGATATATTGATATAAATGAGCAGGACGAACCTTTCTGTGTTACCAAGGAATCGAATTGAGTCTCGGAATCCCTTTGCGAAAGGATTACTATAAATCTTGAGTCGAGTAATCTGCAAGAACATTCAAAGTTAGAAATTATGTCTATGATTACGAAGCCGGCATTGCGTTATCATTTAAACTTTTTCCAAAAGTTTCAGTAACTACAATCTCCTGCAAGAGACCACGCCATCAAACTGGAAAACACAGAATTTATACAGCCTTCCCTCCTCGCTCGTCGCCGCTGAGGACGTTTCGCAGCGGCGAGGAGCGACGAGGGAAGGCTGTATTCGCAGGCTAAGGGGGGCTCTCCGGAGGGCTCTGACAGGGGCGGGAAAAGGAAGGAGAGCTTGCCACTACGTCTCCGGAATTTGAATATCTGCATCCAAAAAGTCGATGCGAAATGACTTTAGTTAAGACGTCATTGCCCTTGGCGCGTGCTTTCATGTGTTTTTCAATGTTTGTTCACATTCTTGCTCGTTTCCGCGTCGCGCTGATTGGAGGAAATCTGACAGTTTAGTCGAAATTGGAGGCGTAATTCAAAGTCCAGAGACGTAGTTGCAAGTTGCGCCCCGGAGAGCTTGCTCGCAGGCTACTAGTCCCTAGGCCTCACTTTTCCACGCGGCCTATGCGTTTTGAGTCACGTGGTCCGAGAGAGTCTCCCGGCCGTTGATTGTATTTGTGACACAGAATTCTCTCTATTTTTCTAATTCAAATACACTATAGACTTACAAGATGATTCTGATAGGAAGTTACAGCCATGAACGTGGTTTCTGGGAAGACGAAAGTTTCCGCTCTTGTTAAATCTGTTTTGTTCTCCTGCTCTTCAGGATTCTTAAGCAGATGGATTCTGGGTTGATATTTATGCATCGAGTTCAAGATGATCTGGAATTTAAGGCAAAAAATAATGAGCTTACTGCTTTAGAAACCCAAAATGCATGTGGCCAAGTGGTTTGGGCGTGGCATTGAAATAACGTGCTCTGGTGGCTGGTGCACCCCAATATCGCCGTGATCACTAAGTAGAATAAGTTGTTTCTCAGTCCCTGGGGGCAGAAAAGTGTAGGGGGCGGGTTAATCAGGTTTAATAGTACCAGACTGGGGTTAAGGCCAAATCGTTAAAAATATCCTGCGTAGCAGGCGCTTGGAAGTAATGGGTGCCTTAATGGGTGCAAGAAAGAACGGGGCGCGCGAGGGAGACACGCACGTGTCTCTTTCGCGCGTCCCGTTCTTTCCTGTGCCCGTCAAAAAAGGCCCATTTTACCGAAACCGCAGGCAAAAAGATCAAAGTCCGACGGCCTAGGAATGTAGAATCAAGTCCCTACTCAAGGCTAATAAACGTGCGTTGCGTAAAACAGGTGATCAGGGTGGAGGTATTAACGTATCAAACCCTAAGATCAAACTTTGAATTCTCATTTGTTGCCCCTATTCATTTCTTCGAGAAGTAGTGGGGAGAAGTTGATAAAATATCGAGCAAATTCATCTCGTGTGATCATGTCCGTAATTCTCATTACCACTCTGGTTTACAAAGCATTGATATTACAAGAAGAAATTTGATGCTGATCACTCTTAGGGCTTGAAGGGTTAAGGAAACTATAGAGAAATAACGATAACAAGACGGTACAACACCATCAAT